TCAAAATTACGTGGCTTTCAAGGAAAAAAAAAATAAAAGGAAAAAAAAGTAGAAAAAGGAATAATGCTTCTTTACTAGAAAAGTACATATCAGGCTAGAACATAACCCAATGCAATAACAAAAGCTTCCAACCCAATTACAATTTTTTCTTATGGTGTAGGTATGACCATGGCTGGCAGGGTGCTCCGGCCACTCTAGAGAGGCCAAGAGTGGGAGTGTGCCATGATCCCCTCATGGCACCAGTAGGGAAGGAAGGAAGGAAATTGCTTCTTTTGCAAACTGAGGGGGGGTGTTCGATCTCAGCACTACCAAGGAGCAGCTGGCAGAAGCAGGGGAAGCAGGTAGATTCCACCATAGTGCCAAATTGCAGCGTAGCAAAATCCTGGAGCCAAGTACACAAACTCCCTCAGCATCACTGTCCTCAATCTCCTTTATGGGAGAAAGGAAGGTATGACCCACCCCGACCAAGTCACGGGTCCGAGTTCACAACTTGTGTTGGGTGTCAACCATGCCACAACTCCCAAAAAATGCTGAACAGGAAAGCCCACACCCCCAGCCAAAAACTCCCCATCCCCACAAAAACTCCACTGGAATGCCAGGAGACTTTCTTTTGTGTTTTGATCGCTAACTATTTACCCAAAAAGCCACCCCCTACCTCTTCCAGAGTCTTCCTGATAATAAAGAAATTCACTGACAAACCTAAAAAAACCCAAAATTATCTAAGACCTTAATTTGCTAGAATGGACTCATAACCCAAGTTGTGTGATCTAAAGGTCAGATGTCTTGCCTAAGCCAAGCATCCAGCCCCAATTTTCAGTCAGCAAGATGGTGACTTCTGTTTGAGGACTGTGGTAAAAAGAGATATTGTCAAGCTTATGCTTGCACTTTCCCCATTTCACCTTCCTCATCTGAGGTTACCAAAGCACCATGGCTGTATGAGGGAGGATGGTGACAGGACAGGATGAGGCTGGGGAGAAAAAGCAGCAATGTCCATTCACTTGGCATGGGGACAGAATTTGTTTTTACTGTTAAAATGTGTGTATCCTTCATTGTAAAGATGCACTGATAAATTATGAGGAAGGGATTATGAAAATTGAGGGTTTGGACAGCAGCAGACAAATTACTGACTGCTTTTTGAACATAGCATAGATAAAGCAGCCCACAGCATCCAAAATCACTCTGTAGGCAATATCAACAAAGCAGGCATCACAGGTTATCTGTTCAGACAAACTCTAGCTCAAAAAGATTAATTTTAAACCTTTTGATATATTTTCCACAACATTATAATGCAGCTGAGCTTGGTCATGTATTGAATTGAAGAATCATAGATTCATTTAGGTCATAAAAGCCCTCTGAGACCATCAAGTCCAACCAGCACTGCCAAGGCCACCACTAAACCGTGTTCCTAAGTGCCACATCTACACGATTTTGAAACAATTCCAGGCCAATTGAAGGACTATAATGAGGGCATATTTAAAAATAAATAAATGAATAAATAAATAAACAGATTATAATATGTTTTAAATGCAGGGAAAATAAGCAGAAATAACTTCCCTGAGCAATGCATTGGACCCTGGCTTGATATCTCACTCAGCCCACTTTTCAAAACACTCAAGCTCATTTGGAGCCTGCCTAACTCTGATTTTCAGATCATTAATTAAAATGCAGTCAATTCCAAGGGGGATAAATCCAACAGCAAAGTGGTACTTGTGCAAGGGTGGTATTGGCAGAAGGTGCGCCTTGCACACACTGCAGTGGCCTGGCTCAGCTCAGCTCTGGCATGTTCCATGTACTGCAGCACAATGCAAATTCACTGCCCAGAAAACAGATGCTCGTCCCAGCCTCTCTCTGCTTCCAAGACAGCAAACATGCACCAGGGATCCCTTAAAAGCAATGTTTAAAGCTGTTTCCTAAAATAAGACAGCAGGCAGCATTTGCTGCCTCCAAATACTTGACCATGCTAAGTTTGTTGCTGGGATCTGGTAGGATTAGGAATCATGCTTAATCTTCTCAGAATGCCTAATACTACAGCACTTAACAAACTCCATCTACACACAAATACAGTCCAGAGCCCTGGATACCAACCCAGTCTGTGTCCCCAAATGTCACTTCCTTGTGTCCCTTGTGCTAGTGGGATTGTTCAGCCTGAGGAAGAAAATGTGAGATCTTAGACCCCCTGTCAGTGGCTTTAGCTCCATGTTAAAGGGGCTGTAAGAGCTGGAGAGGGGTTTTGGACAAGGGCCTGGAGGAACAGGATAATGGGGAATGGCTTCCCACTGACAGAGAATGGGTTAGATGGGATATTGGGCAGAAATTCTTGGCTGTAAGGATGCTGAAGCCCTGGTACAGGCTGCCCAGAGAAGCTGTGGCTGTCCCATGCCTGGAAGTTTTCAAGGCCAAGCTGATCAGGGTTTGGAGCAACCTGGTCTAGTGGAAGGTGTCCCTGCCCATGGTAGGGGGATTAGAATTGCATGATCATTGAGGTCTCTTCCAACCCAAAACACTTAATCATTCCGTAATTGTATGACTGAGAAAATATTTTTGAGAAATAAGAAATAGTATTATGTGATTGCTTGGCTAGAATGCTCTCTGCATTATATCTCTTTTAAATTTTTCTGCTGTCCTTTTGTGAAACTTCCTCTGTTTTCTTGCAGAGAAGTGGGGAGAAAAGTTCCATGGAGCTTTCTGGGCCCTCACCCAGAGAGCTACAGCCAAACCCCATACCATGCTCCCTCTACTGGACTTCGTGGTCCTCCTACAAGTAAGGACAGAACAGAACACAGTGAGGCATTCAGGAGTGGGGTTCCACGTTCTTTAGAAAGAGACAGGAGAAAGGTCATTGCTGGGCTGAGCTGGTAGATAAATTTCAGCAGAGAAGCTGGTCCAGCATTTCACAAGTGGTGGCTTACAGGCACAAATAATTTACAGAATATATATTGCATAAAATTACTAGTCACATAAATCATTGAATTGCTCTATGGTTTCAGTTGCAATGTGATAAATAACATAGAGAATAGAAATTTTCAGTTAATCTGAAGTTGCTGAATAGAGTTTAACTAGCAGAAAAAGATAAAAAGATGTAAAGGTATGCACATTAGATGATAAATGTTGCTTACCAGAAGAACAGATAAAGGGGGCTATAGTGGTTTTTTTGCAAGTTAGGTAACAAGAAGCAACAGCACATGCCCAAAGAAAACGTTCGAGGAAATATCATCTTTAAAATTTAAATATTCACTGGATAGGGCCACCAGAGATCCCTTTAGAGGACACTCCAGGATCATAAAATGATTTCCAGTAGGAGGCAGTTCTAGGAAAAATGATGTTTATGTATTTCCAGGAGACACATTTTAATTAATATATATGATTATAATGTTGTAAAGCCTCACCACACACACTGGATTAAACAAGACATCCTTGCAATGTGTCCTGCACAGATAAAGAATGTCTGCCTTCTAACACTTCAAATTGTGTTAGAAAGTTTATTTTCTGGCTGATTTCAGTATCAAAGGGACCTTAAAATGCCACTCCCTACCATGGGAAGGGACACCTTCCACTAGACCAGGTTGCTCCAAGCCCCGTCCAACCTGGCCCTGGACACTTTCAGGGATGGGGCTGCCAAAGCTTCTCTGGGAAACCTGTGCCAGGGCCTCACCACCCTCACAGCCAATAATTTTTCCCCTCTATCCCATTTAAATCTACTCTCTTACAGTTTGAACCCATTCCCCCTTGTTCCATCACTGTAGTTCCTGATGAAGAGTCTCTCTCCATCTTCCCTGGAGGGTCCCTTCAGACAGTGGAAGGTGCTGTGTGGTATCCACACAACGTTCTCCAGGATAAACAGCCCAGACTGCTCAGCTGTGTCTATGTGGCAGGTGCCCCAGTCCCCTTACTGACTTTGTGGCCTCCTCTGGACTTGCCCCACAAGTGCCATTTTACCTTCTTATGATGGGGGCTCCAGAACTGTGCACAGTATTCCAGGTGTGATCTTATGAGAACAGAAAAGAGGATTATTTCTGTTTGAGCACAAAGCTGATGGGCGTGTCATCTCTGGTCCTCACTTTGCTGTGGCTCCCCCTAACCCTTAAGCCAGGCCCTAAATCTATGCAGGATGGACTCTCATCCCAGGCCCTGCTCCATGTAGGATGGACTCTCAGGCTGAGTTCTTATTTTTTCCTTTAGGCTGGTGGGTTCTTTGGCTTTTTGGGCTCCCAACTTCTTTATCCTGGACTGCAGCACTCAGCTTCTTACTCCAGGTGGTCTCTGACCAGCTGGGTGCATCCCATCTGAGTTTTCTCAACAGGCAATGTATTCCTAAAGGAATTATCTTCGAAATTCCCATTGCCTGGCCTATCCTTGAAGCTCTCTTCCTTGCACAACCCATGAACTCTTCTGCATTGCTCAGATTTGTACCACCTTGTGATGGCTCTGAGGCAGGACTTGCTGCTTCTCCATGCATCCACACCATGCCAAGGGATCACCAGGTAGAAAAGTAAGGCCACACGCATTAAGTAAATCAGGGAATGTCACAAAAGTCCCTCTCAAGAGAACAACAGCTCTCTGAGACTACCCAGTGCACCCCCAGCTTTACCCATCCATCTCCCTTATAAGCAGAACAGGATACTTACATTGCAGACCACCCAGGATCTCTTGGGTTTTGATTAAAACTTGGCCCTATGCCCACTGGGTAAATTCTTAGTAACCTGAAGGGCAGGAATATTGCAATATAGACATGGAAAACAAAGGTGAGATTTCCCTAACAGCTGGAATGCAGCAAGATTAAATAGGTATGGAAAAGGCAGATGATTGAAGGATGCGTTTTGTAAAAATGGTAATCCTCCTTTCTTACTGTGTTTGAGTAATCTGGGAGCTGGGAAGATTATCCTCCAACACCAAGCTCCCAGCACCCCATGCCACGACTGCTGGCCCCAGACTGTATCCAGACTCCAAGGACAAAACTGGTTCCTGAAACACGGAAGAGCCAATGGAGTGGTGGCACTTACCGTGATGGGGAAATAGTCCCTCATGTACTTCCAAATGACGCAGTTCCGGAGGACGTGGCTCCGTCGCCCACCCTTGCTGGGTTTCTCCCTGTCTAGTAACCACCACGCAGCATACAGGGCACTGACCAGCCAAAAACGGGTGAAGAAGAGGGCGATGAAGACAGCTGTACAGCACTGTGCTGAAAGAAAAGCCAGCAGTGACTTGATAGTTGGATTAGGTGGACTTTGGGAGGAATGGTTCATTTGGAGAGGCATTTTTGGTCCTGGGATGGAGCCTCCACTGGGCTTGCTGCTGAATTTATCAGTGTGAAGGTAACTCTGATGCAGAGGTGGTTTCTTTTCTATCTGCCCCAGGAACCTGAAAAGACACCAAGCACCTCCCTTGTGGTTGCTACAAATTTCTCCAAAGGCCACTGTGTCCCCATCTTCCCAAAACACTGATGAATCTCACTCCATTCACAGTGTTCTCATGGATCAGCTCTCTATCCCTTTGCTGTCTTGCTTCTCTCTGGAGTCAGACTGATCTCTGCAATGATAATGGCCTTGTTTTACCCCAAAATTCCTGTTAATATGACCTCATGACACCTAATATTTTGCAATGGCAGCAAAAAGTGTCTTAGGTCCAGTCTGTACAGTCCCCAATAGTTTTATCTTGAGCTAATAAGTCCCCAATTTTAATTGTGTCCATGATTTATACCCATAGATAAGATTTTACTCTTTAGTGAGTTTTTTATTATTCATTTTGGACCCTTTCCTCAACTTCTAATCTTGGACTCCAGAGGATTTTCAGTTCTTTCAACTCAGTGTCATAATGAATTTTATAAGAGTGCTCTATTTAATTCTCTATGACTTCCATGACTTGGGACTTTCTCCAATTAGTGCCAGCTTTGACCTCGACCTCCCACCTCCCTTATACCCTGTGTTTTAGCACAGAAACAAGAGAACAAAAGTATTTGTGCAAACAAACATCACTTGGTACATAAAATCCCACTCAACCCCAACACTGTGTGTCTGCAGATGCTGGAAAGTGGTGATGGCCACCAAGCTGCCACTTGGTAAAGCAGATGTGCACCTGTGAAGAGATGTGACCTCTCCATCTGTCCCTCTGAAACCATTTGCATTACTTTTGAAGGGAAAGACTGAGCTGAAGAAAACCCAAAGATTCATCCAAATCTTTGCCTTCCCTTGCTCATGGATTACATAAAGTTTTGTATATTCTGTTCTACTCTTCATTTCAGATTTTCCACCCAGGGCTGGAAGATATGAGGATGGAGATGCCCTGCTCAGCTTCAGCTGTGATACAGATGGAGCCACACCCTCATGCTCTGAGACATCTTTTCCACCTTTGGGAGTCACCTGGTACCTGCTCTCTCCACCTCCTCTCAGCTAAGGCCTGTCAAGACATGGAATAAGATGCTCTCATCCAAGACCTTCATGTACCTCCTGCTTGCTTTCACTTAAGAATAAATAAGTAGATCATGTTTGTAGCATTTTTTTTTTCATGATAAGTCACCCTGATTACAAAGCTTTGCATGGAAAAGCAAATCATTACCCTTTTTTAGAACACTGTCATGATGGTACCAATAATTCCTATGGGGGAAAAAAGTGCAATAATCTAACAGGATCCTAAATTCCCTTAAAGTTGAAATGGGATTGTATGTCTTCCTATAAGTAGAGAGACTGCAGCAAGCACCTGGGTAGGCACTAGGAATTTTGCAGTGGGAAAAAAACTGCAGCTCTCAGCAAAGCAACAGGACTAAGCTGTAATGCATCGTGCAGGGCAGAAAGAACTATTGCTCACATCTGGTGCCACACTTTTAATAGAATCATAAAAGTCCCCTCAAATCTGGCCTTGGACACTTCCAAGGATGTGGCAGTCACAGTTTGTCTGGGCAACCTGTGTGCAGGGCCTCACCATTATCACAGCCAGGAATTTCTCCACAATATCCCATCTAACCCTGATGTCTGGAAGTGGGAAGCCCCTGCTCCTTGTCCTGTCCCTCCAAGCCCTTGTCCAAAATCCCACTCCAGCTCCCTTGGAGCCCCTATAGCACTGGAAAAGACTCTAAGGTCTGCCCAGAGCCTTCTCTTCTCCAGGCTGAACACCCCCAGCTCCCCCAGCCTGGCTCCAGAAGAGAGGGGCTCCAGCTCTCGGCGCATCTCCATGGCCTCCTCTGGACCCACGCCAGCAGGAGCCTCAGAAAAGTGGAACAGAGAGAATCCCCTCCCTCAATCTGCTGCTCACACTTCATTTTCAAATGCCACGGATACAGACTTTATAACTCTCAAGAACAGCATAGAACATGAAGTGCAGCTCAAGGGTCCACATGATAAATAAACACAATTTTACTGCACCTAGGAGCCAGGTCATCAGGTCTGCTGCAAAACTGCCATGCCTAATTCTCTTTTTATCATACTGTGCAAAGCTCAAAGTACATTCTGCAAAGTGAAGGAGTAGTTCTGTATCAAATCCATGCTTTATCTCACAATTATATAATTATTAATTTCTTCCTCAATTCATTTGAAATTCAACTTTGTTTTTCCCCAGAGCAAAATTTGTGCTCAGTGACCGTCACTCAATTTTAAGATCTGGGGGGGGGGTTTGTCCTTTTGAAACCTTTTGGTGCTCTGTGGGAAAGGGGCCCATTCCTGTGCAAGAATGGACTGTCAGTCTGAAAGTTACTGTGGATGGGACCAAAGAGACAGGAAGGTTCCAGAAAATGTACAGTTAAATCTGCATCCAAATGAATTCCAGCCTTAGGCAGGCACCTGATTATTTATGCCATTTGCTGAGGAGGAACAACTCCGTGCCACTGTCTGAACACCAACACTTTGTGGGCCACCAGTGGCCAGAAATTTTCCACAGATCTCTCTTAGTGTGTTCCAAAAGTCATGTCAGGTCCCCAGACTAAATACACCACCACCAGCCCCACTGCTCAGAAGAAATGGGCAGGTTTGAGTTGCAGACAGGTTTGAGGTTGCAAACAGACATGATCCTCATCTGCTCCTTCTGCAGGTCTGGATATAGCTCCTCCAGAACTTTATACTAGTATTTACACTAAAAATTTTGGAAGCAAATCCAAGCATGTCAAATTTGATCCCTTACCCTCCTGAAACATCGTAGGAACCCCAAGAATTAGAGTTCCTGGGCTCTGTGAAATTGGATTTTTATGTTGATTTTAAATACATGAAAAGGAATCAGTCTAAAAATGTTTCTCTCTATCACCCTGTGTAAAATAATCAAACCTTTTGCTGCAATTATACTTCTGGCAGCTTTTCTAAGTCCAGTAATGCCTCCACCCTTGTGGCTGCCATCAGTAATTTTTTAGTTTAAAAAGATCAAACCTGAGCCTTTTAGGGTTGGAGTTTTTTAACTAAAAGACTCTTTTTAGGATAGGTATGTATGTGATAATTTTGATAACAATTGTATTAACCATGATACCTTTCAATCTGTGCATAGATTAATTATTAAGACCATTAAAGGAGTGTTTTTGGTTGAAAGGAAAAGGGGAGATGTTGGGATGTTGGGAGATACAAGACAGATGATGGACTTTGGACCTGCTTAACATAAGAATCTGGTAACAGGTGCCTTGGCATAAGCAAACAGAACTTTGAAAATTAGATCTAGGTTGCAAGAAGATTCAATCAGAGAGGTTTACCAGAAAAAGAAAATCTCATTAAACTCTTCGAGCAAGAGATGTTGTGATATGCATAAGTTTGTGTATGTAATTTTAACCTAATCATTGTAGTACACATTACTAGTTTTCCTAAAATAGTATATAAGCATTTGTATCCCACAATAAATTTGGATTCTGATAACTGAATCAGTGTCTCTGCCATCTCTCTCCGTCACCAACATTGTGCTATAGCCCAATGGCATATGCTAAATTGCTATAAAATGGTTTAAGCCCTAACACAGAGCTCTTTCAAGGCAGACAAGGGCTGTGAGAGCAAGGTTAAGGGCATCATGCAAGTCATTGCAGATGCATGAGTTCTGTTATCTGGAAACAGATAATTCTGGGCTGGGCTGAGATTAGCTGCTGCACTGTACACTGTCATGGAAAGTAGAGACTGCTTCAAACCAAAACTAAAACCAAAGGGTCCGTGTCAAGACAGAATGCAATATGCAGACCCCAAATCTTGCACTTTCTGATGAGTCCAGATTCAGGAAGGTTTCTCTCTGGTTGTCCATGGTGAGGTTTGGCTCTGGATGAAGCATTCATAGGCTGGTCCTGGACTCTGCAGTGCACTTGTTTAGCAGGGTGCAGCAACTTTTCATGGTCCAAGACCCAGGATCTCACATCTCCATGGCTGTATGAGACTCAGAAAAGAAAAGACATCAATGTGTATTTGATGGGTTTTTTGGTGTTTTTTTTTTTTTGCCGCCTTTTTTTTGTTGTTGTTGTAGTTGTTTTTGGTTTTGTTTTTTTTTCTTTTACAGGTCAATTGGTTTCCTGAGCTGGATTCTGGATTCCTTCAAAGAAGCTCATAGCTTCTTTATTTCAAAGAAGCAAAAATGAAGTGGTGGGTTTCTTATGCTGAGTATTGCTGTGAGCTGTAAATTCCTCTCTGGACAAGAAAATAGCCATATCACAGACAGCACAAATATGCCATGGGCTCCAAGTAAGCCATGGGTTCCAAAGGAGCCACGTGTTTCAAAGCACATGGAGAATTTCTCTGACTAAGTCTAAGCAGGGACCATGTCCCATCAAAGTGCTCCTAACCCAAAATTTGTTAATTCAGCCTGAAACAGGGAAAACTGCAGCCCGCAGAAAGAGATTTTTGTTATAACAACAGCCCAAAGTGAGTCAGATTCATACTGCTCTTGCCATGACGGTTTGCAAGATCATTGCAGAACCACAGAATGCATTGGGTTAGAGGGATCTTAAAGACCATCCAGTTCCAACTGCCCTGCCATGGGCAGGGTTGCCTTCCACTAAAATAAGATTGTTCAAAGTCCCATCCAAGCTGGCCTTGAATGCTTTCAAGATGCATGTTGCTGAGGTCCTCAGTGCCAGCCTGGAGTCCCTGATTGTGGCCACCTGCACAGATAGTGCACCCTTGGGCACAGCTGATGTGGGCAGGCTGTGGACTATACTCAGCTGCCCAGGAAGCCTGATCATTCTGGTACCACATGCCCTTTGAGCCAACCCTGATGACTCCAAGGTTCAAAGTCTGGGTGTGGCACACTGGGTCTGTAGAGGCAGCATGCCCGGATCTATTTGCCCTACACTGGGTTTGTTTGCCAAGGTTCAGCTCTGCACTCATAGTTCTGCATGGAGTATCTGGACAGGTGTCCATGCCCAGTGGAGAGTGGGAATGAGAGAGGCAGAAGGAAGAAGTGCAGCAGGCTTGGGCACCAGTGCTGATTTCAGTTTTCTGCAGTAGCCTGGTTCCACTCCATTACAAGGGGGCATTGGTCAGTACTCAGATCATGTACTGGGAAGGCAATAGGGTCCCCACTCCATGCCCTGCAACCCATTCTTAAAACTTGCACTCCTCCTCCAGCAGCTGTCAGCCCCTGAAATAAATACAACTTTTTGTCTCCATGCTCTTGTCAGGAGCATCCTCAAGAAAACTGGCAGTATGGACAATGCCTGCCTGTTGCAAGGGATGCTGGAGCAGAGCTCCTTGCCAGCACTGGGGCCAAGCTGCTGCCCTCACCCAGCATCCTGCAGGAAAAAATGAGTCCCCCCCACAGTTCTTGGCTTCTTAGGGGATGCACTTGCACAACCACAGCAACCGAGCTGCCTGCAATCCCTGCTCCTGGGATCTCTGGCTAAAGGGCTGGGCAGCAAATGGGTGTTTCAGAAGCCCTCTTCTGGAAGCAGAAGCCCAAGCCTGTCTCCCAACAAAGGAGCAGCTGACAGCTAAATCCTCCCCACTGAAAATCTGAGCTCTGTGCCTCAGGGTTATAACAGTGCAACAAGGGGTGTTTGGCAGCTCATGGGATGAAAATAACATTATTGGCATCTAGCTCATGCAGTGGTTAAACTGGGAAATTTTAGGTGGAAAGCTCCAGGCTTAAAGAAACTTTGTAAAATGAACTAAACCAGCTGGAACTGCTTCATAAGGTTTTGTTATCACCTTTCTAATGCCCCTCTTAAAAGCATTTTGGTTTCAGATTGTATCACCAAAAGAAACCCAAAAAAAACCCTAAAACAAAACAAACAAACAAAACACGCAAAACCCCAAACAAATAAACAACCCACAAAAACACACAAAAAACCCCAAACAACTAATCAAGCTCTTCCTGGGAAAAATTATAAGCTCTTGAAGGTCAGCCATGGGAGAAGGAGAGGGTTTGGGTCTCATCCTCATTCAGAGCAAGCTGCAATTCCCTGCAGGACGTAGAGCCTGTGTTTGCAAGTAACTCCTACAGCTGCAGAGGATTCCTCCCTCCTGGCCATTTGCTGTCATTCTGCTGGCTCTAGAAGTTACTTCCACCTCTGGAAAGTCAAGTGCCAGCTTGATTCCAATACCAAGAAGGGAAAAACCAGAAGTACAAATTGTTTTATTGGAAAACATTGTTGAAGCTCCAGAAGCCCAACTGCATCCATGCTGAGAATGTTGGATCGCCTGTGACCACATCTCTGCTGCATCCCAACTGAATCATTGACTGTGGAAGGAAATGCAAATGCAGGGACAGAGAGGGAATCATAGAGCACTCCAAATTGTCCCATTCTGGTTAGCTGTGTCCAAGACTGCATGGCTCTTGCCAGATTTCCATTCTCTTGACAGGTGTCTCCTCCTGCCAGGTGTTCTCTGGTGGCAGAAGTTTGATCACATGTGGGATGTCTTCTTCACTAGAATGTTGATCACAGGTGGGATCTCTTCTGCTCAGGGAGACCCACAGGGTTTGTAACACAAGTAGACAATGGCACTAAGGATGGCTGTTTGGTGCCTCTCTTCTAAAAAAAGGTAGCTTCATCCATCCTGGTGACCAGCAATGGCCCCTGGCCTCTTGAATTGCACAAACTGGGATAAGGTGTTGTTCAGAAGAGTGATACTTATGAAAGGAATGAGAGATTTGTCTTTACAAACAAATGGTGAGTCAGCTGGTAGATAAAACTAGCACTGAGAGAGCTAAAAGAAACAAAGGGAAAGATTCCACTGATTGACAAACTGTAGGTCTGCTGATAAATAAAATTGGTTACTGAGACATGAAAGAAACAACTGGAACAACCATAAATTCCATAGGAATTCCACTGATTGCTACAAGGGGAATAAAAGGCTGGGGGAGTATACATATAGAAGGTGGTCTTAGGTATTAGGCATTTCAGGAAGGTTCCTGATGGGCTGCAAATGGCCCCAGACATTTTACACTGATAACCTACCTCTGATATTTTTATTTCCATAAAACTAGGAACCACTGGGATGTCACCTGCCAGCCTGATGGGCTGTAAATGCCTCCAGGCAGTTTGCACTCCCTGATAATGTGCATCTGTGTCTCCCATCATCATTTCCCTGTGCAGCCTATTCAAAACAGCATGTGTGTCATTTCCATCAGCACCTGATGTCCTCCACCAAGCAGTGACTTTGTCTGCATCTTAGTTTGCTGATGTGTTTTTTCCTCAAACTGCTACAAAAGCAGAGTCACCAATACTCCACCAATGGTAGCATCCCTCAAGCATGGTAATTCTATTTCCTATTCCTAATACCAAGCAGAGCAACAACTTAAAGCACAAAAACTCTAAACCTAGAGAGAGGAAAGAGAAGTGGAAAAACCCACCCTGTTTTAGATGTTGCATAAGACCTGTAAATATTCCCATGCATAGGCAATCAGCCATGCACTTCCTTGGTGCCACCGTGCTCTGATCAAGTGGTGAGAACAAGTCAAAAACGTTGGCACAGACTGCTCAAAGAAGTTGTGGCTGTCCCATTCTCAAAACCCTGTTCAAGGCCATGTTGGATGGGGCTTGGAGCAACCTGGTCAGTGGAAGGTGTCCTTGCCTGTGGCAGGGCGTGGTACAGAATGATCTTTAAGGTCTCTGTCGACCCAAACCAGCCTATGATTGTATGATTATGCTAAAGGCACTATGGTGTGGTACAAACCAGAGCAAGACCAGTTATTTCACAGCCCCAAAAATCACCACTGACTTTGAGCAGAGCCCCAGGCAGTGGCTCCATGTCAAACACCCGTTGTGCAATGATAACCAGGATGTTTTGGAAGCTGATTAATAAGGTACCTGATAAACCTTCTTCTCCTGGCATCCTCAAATGAAGCCAGAGCACCTTTCAGTCAAACTTAAGCTACCGGAGACCATCCAGGGACATTTTTGATAGTTTCTCCTGCATTTTGTGATGGCATGAAGAGCAAGATGACTGACAATGACTATGTGAGATGTTTAAATCTCTGCAGGATCTGACGACATAAAGGTGGACTGGCTTCTCTTCTCAGACCACCAGCTGACATCTCCTCACATGCTGTCTGTACACATTCTCCCCCACACCCTGTACACACATATCCCCTGACACACAAATCTTTTAGGAAATAATGCTATGGCACTGTGAAAACAGCATGGCAAAGCTCAGGCCAAGACCTTATAGGAATGGACTGTGGGTTTCTTTAGGAAAAACACACAATGCAGTGGAAGCCATCACAAAGGTAGGCACTAATTCCTTGTTAATCACTGACAAGAGTCAGAGGAAGGGGATGGCAGCTCATCCCATTGCTCCCAGATCACTGACAAGAGCTGGAATTAAGTGAAAATGAAGGGGAAAAATCAGGTAGGAGCCCCACATCTTCTTAGGAGCCTTTTTCCTCCATTGCAGGAATGGAGATGCCCTGGGCTAAAGGTAGGTGAGACTCCATCTCCACAGCCAGAGCCGGACCACACCTGCAGCTCCCTCTGTGTACAGTGCTCAGCTATACACCACCCCATGAGATGCAGGAAAACTCTATTTACTCTGGCTGTTTCAGGCACTCCCTCTGCTTTGCAGGACATGTCCTGGCACCAATCTCTCCTATCTCTAACATCCATCACCAGGGACAAGAGAATATGACAACACTGCAGGTGACAATTTAAAGGGGAGTTTTAGTGGCCTCTCACATCTTAAATCATTTTATAATCACGCACAGCTTCTGCCTGGTGGGTTCACAAGGTTCAGCCTGGTGGGTTCACAAGGTTCAGCCTGGTGTGTTCTCGTTTTCCTTGCCAAATGTGCTTATGATTCATGTATGTTGTGAGAGTGTTTTGAGGCCAAATGGGACAGGAGCCAAAGCAAATCCCTATCAGAGTGCTGCATAAAGAGAACAATTGAAGCGCATAAAAATGTAGGGGATTGTAACTGGATGATCTTTAAGGTCCCTTCCAACCCAAACCATACTGCAATTCTATGGAAAGCTTCTCTGGCCTCTCAGAAAAAGGAAAAAGGGATCTCTCTTACCTAGACACAGGAAGCTGAAGATCCATTGAACCACTGATGCTGTCTGAAGCCTTCTCTGCAGTGGCACAGACAGTGGAGCAAACTCAACTTTCATCTTGGGCTCTGCAAGCACGTCTCACAAGGAGAAGGAAGCAAGTGGCAAATGCAAAGTGCAAAGTCAGTATCTCTCCAGTGTAACAGTAGAAGGGATTGTGCAATGTACAGTCACAGTGGTGGCTGCACACAGCACCACTCTGTACAGGGAGGAGAGGGAGGTGGCATGGACGTCACACCATCATGACTCACAGCACTGCTAGATGGTGACAATTCCATGCTTCTTCCACCCAAATCTGGAAAGTAAACTGCATTCAGGACCCAATCCTGCTTTCAAGATCCCGTCTCTTTCAAATTTTGCAGTATTTGGATATTGGCAGAGACAATGAGGCATTCATGCTGGTAAGCTAGTTTTATTTTCCCCCTTCACCTACAAATCACCCTGTGCAGAGCAGGAAGGGACAAGAATGTTCACAAAAAAAAAGTTTTGATGTGATGTGGATGGGTTTCAATCTCAGCCTAGGAGGTGGGGAGATAACACAAATGTGTTTCACTGCTGAGCACAGGGTACATGAGCCTCATGTCTCTGCCAAGACATGGATGGGGCATCTGAGTTTCCATGTGCATCCTTGCACAAATTTATATAGGTATAGAGAAAGGAAATACTGCTCCTGATTTGCATTTGTATCTCCAAGCAGGTGTGCAGTCTGAGCCTCTGCCTTGCCATGTGCAATTGACTATGTGGGAAAAAGAAGTTTGGGGGGAAAAATCCTCAAGGACTGACAAGCCCCTCAGGTAAGCAACAAAATCATCTCATCAGAGGGCTGGGAAAACCAAAGGTCTTATTGTAACCAGGATATAGAACAATACTGTGAACAGATCGTACTGAACTATGAGCACTGTGAAAGGACTGGCCATGTACAAAGGCTTCACTCACATATCTAAGGGGCATTTCAAATCCCAAGGTCACCACAGCCAGGGATTACAGGATAAAACTAAAAGCAACCTTTGGCAGAAGCAAATCAGAGATGCTATCTGAAAAATAATCCCTCCCCTTTGCCAGGCCTAGGAATATGCTGGGCTATGAGGAATCTGTTAGACTCAGTTTTCCCAAATCACTAGGATAACAGGGCTCTGGTGAAACCCCAAGGGATCTCTCCCTAAAAGCATTGGTTGCTTTAATTGAGCTAAATCTGGTTTAGATTTAACTCAAATCTCTCCCCATCCTTTGTCTTCTACTGCGAATGTCAGGAGCCTCTGAGAGACAACTGCTCACTTAAAAAATCTTAACAAAAATACAACAAAGGACTAAATAAGGAAAAAAATTGCAGTGCTGGGAACTGCCTTTGTGGCTGACTGCCACGTGGTGGGTTCACCTTCAAGACGGATGCTCAGTCTTTTATACCCCTGGGGGTTGCATCAGCCAACCCTGGACCCTCCCAAAGTTTGTCAGTCAGATCTCCTTTGCTGTTTATTGGTGGAGACTCCTGTCTTGTAACTGGGTTGGAGGGTCAGGTGTTGTCATGCTGTGCCCCTTTAGCAACAAACTTTTGCATTCCTAACTGCCCCATGGAAGGGGCACACGTGCACACACCTTCTTTTTACCTGTCCTTGATAACACAGGCTGTTGGATGGTAACAACACAGAATGGGGGAAAAGGCAACTATGGGGAGAACAGAGGACATCTAAATTACAATAACATAACTATATATCAATAAAGCTTCTCTTAATAGTCACATAATAATCATCTCTTAATTGCAAAATCAAATCATCTCATTATCCTGATTGCTTCAAGAAAGCAAAGGAGGTTTTTAATTATTTCAGCACTGTTACCTGGAGACAGGATGTTTCCTGATGAGAAGCCATCAGTGATTTGCAAAATTCTGTGGGGAGGTCTGTGGGCCCAGGCCTCCTGGTCTTCCTGGACTGTGTGACAGCAGCATTGTCAGAGAGGTGGATGGTGGGACCAATAAGAGGTTAGATTGGTTATTAGGGAAAATTCCTTCCCTAAAACAGTTTTCAAGCCCTGGAACATGCTGCCCAGGGCAGTGGTGAAGCCCCCATTCCTGAAGAGATTGAACATGCATGTGGCACTTGGTGGGCTTGGCAGTGCTGGAGGAATGCTCAGAATTAATGGTCTTGCAGGACTTTTCCAACTGTAACAATTCTATGACTCTGTGAAAAATTGTTGCAGGGACATCTCTGGTCCAGTGTGAAAAATTGTTGCAGGACATCTCTGGTCCAGTGATGATGCTTCAATGTGTTTTCTATCCAGCACTCTTGTTCTTGCTGGAGACTTGCCATGCCAAGGAACTCTTGATTTTCACTAGTCAAAAGAGTCACACCTGTGCCCTGGGGACACCTAGACATGTGGGAAGCATTTTCTGCCCCTAGAAACTTCAGGCTAAGCCCTAGAGCAGTTGTATTGCTTAATTTCAAAGCAGTTGCATTGCAGAGTTACAGGTTTTTGTTTGTGGCTTATTATGACAAAGAAGCCTCATCTTCTGGATTTATTATCAAGTCATGTCCTTGGAAGACCTGACCAAGGAGTTAAGCAATGTTCATCTGGGTAATAAATATTTATGTCCTGCTTTGCTGTGGTTATATAATTTGCTTTTTGTATTCCTACTTTCTTAATTAAGGAGAGAAAAATAAATACTTATAGAGGACTTTGAAAACTTCTGCTTAAATAAGAGAGGAATCACAGATTTCCATGCAGGACAAACTGAAAGAGATGCATCTCTTTGCTGAGTGTAGATAAAATAGAACCTGTGACTTAAAATCTCTGAATCACAGAATAATTTAGGTTGGAAAAGATGTCTAAGGTCAGGGAGTCTTATCATTCCACCAGCACTGCCAAGGCCACCACTAACCCATGTCCCCACGTGGCACATCCACATGTCTGTTAAATCCCTCCAGTAATGGGGACTCCACCACAGCCCTGGGCAGCCTGTTCCAGGGCTTGACAACCCTTTTGTGAAAGTTTTTTCCTAATTTCCAATTTAAACCTGCCCTGACACAACTTGAGGCCTTTTCCTCTGATCCTGTCTCTTGTTCCCTGTGAGAAGAGACTGACCCTCTCCTGTCCCCACCCTCCTGTCAGGAAGTTCCATAGAGTAAGAAGGTGTCCATCCCTCCCAGCCTCCTGCTTCCTGTTTTAGGGAAGAGCAGAGCTGTGTCTCTGAGTTTGCTAACCCATTCAGATGTGCCCAAACACTGAGCTCTGATCTCTGTATATCCTGATACCTTAATCAGTCTTACTTCCTAACCCATTCAGGCATTTGCACACATTTGGGCCATGACAAAGCTCCAACTACATTCCCCTTGGCTTTTCCCTTTTCAATTATATACAGTCATTTGTTCAATCTCCTATGGCTTGCATTTAGTTTGGGAAAATTAAGCTCCTTTAATCTCTCAATAATCTTCTGTAATACCTCTGTCAGTGGCCATTGTTATTCAATGGAGCAATGTCCCTCTCAAGAGTATGAGGAGGAACTTGTAAGCCCAGCGTCTTGGAACTGTGGGTTTTTTCAAGTCACCAGGGTAAGACATGCCCATGTCACTTCACAGGATGCACATGAACACTCCCAGGATCCAGGATCAGGGCTGGGAAAGCCTAACTCAGAGGATCTGCAGGAAGATAAGCAAGGATCAATGCAGTGGCTCATACAGGATGCCAGGATACTGCACAGCTGGCCATGAAGTGGACCTGTGGAGTTCCTTGCTAAAGCCCCATCACATATAGTGGAACTTAGTGCTCCAGCAGAAGAACTATAAGCACTCTTCAGATCACTGCTCCTCTCTCAATCATAGAAAATCCCCTTTTATTTACCCTAAAGCCTCTCATTCATTCATATTAGCTCCTAGAGCTTATATTAGCTCTAATAAATAAACTCCTAGAGCTAATTTCCCCTCCAGTGGCCAAAATTATCAGAAGAAAACTGAATGTACCATCTTGGTAGTTGCACAGTGGATTCTCAAAGTCCCATACCTTTCTGACCCATCACACCTTCAGTAGTAAGTGTTCCTCCCAAGGGAGGTTCTCCTCCTTTCTAGCATCCCAAATCTATGTGATACCATTTCACCAAGCTTGGTCTTTGTCCCTCTCCAGCTCTGAGTGTGAGAGAAGCTCACTTCTGCCTGGTGGATTTTTAGGGTTTGGGGTTTTTTTAATACAAATTCTTTCAAATCTTACTTCCTTGTCTACCTGTTACAAAATCACTACTTCTGATTCTGGCTGTGTTATGCCAGTGATTTTCATTAAAGAATTTCATGTCTTTTAGAGCACTTGATTTATTGCTCAAATTTTCTTTTTATGCACTTCAGTTGTTCTCTTTATGCAGCACTCTGATACGGATTTGCTTTGGCTCCTGTCCCATTTGGCCTCAAAACACTCTCACAACATACATGAATCATAAGCACATTTGGCAAGGAAAACAAGAACACTCCAGGCTGAACCTTGTGAACCCACCAGGCTGAACCTGTGAACCCACCAGGCAGAAGCTGTGCGTGATTATAAAATGATTTAAGATGTGAGAGGCCACTAAAACTCCCCTTTAAATTGTCACCTGCAGTGTTGTCATATTCTCTTGTCCCTGGTGATGGATGTTAGAGATAGGAGAGATTGGTGCCAGGACATGTCCTGCAAAGCAGAGGGAGTGCCTGAAACAGCCAGAGTAAATAGAGTTTTCCTGCATCTCATGGGGTGGTGTATAGCTGAGCACTGTACACAGAGGGAGCTGCAGGTGTGGTCCAGCTCTGGCTTTGCCTTTTCTTTACTGAGCATCTTAATACAGAAGATCCACTCTGTTATGTGCATTTTAGATAATTCGTGCTTGTGAGAAATAGATGTATGAAATGCGTTATATTGGTCAGAAATATTCCTCTAAGTTTTCTTAAGCACTCAAGCTGGGGATGGGAAGGTTGCTTCACAGAATTTCAAAACCGCAGCTGGCAGCAGGGAGAAAAGGACCTAATTTGCAAACGAATGGACATGGCCAGCTAGAAGATGAGTGCTTCTCCAAGGTAATCAAGGAACACCCAGGCGATGAATACTTGATAAATATCTCAGACTGAAACAGCCAGAGCCATCAAGAAGACACATCTCAATGTGGAATTCCAGTAAC